CATCTGGAAAGCATCTGTTGTGAACAAACATCTGATAGACTTCTTTAAGATGTCAGTTTTGCATGCATTCTAAATCATAAACACCTTCTAAACCTGTATTTGACATCTGATAGGAAACGTCCTAGATGTATTGCAGATGTAAATGCAGACATCAAATAGACGCCTAATTAGCTATGCATGTGTTTGACTTACCTACATCAGACTCGCAGAACACCTGTTGAGGGTGTCTTGGAAGACATTTACAGCCCTCGGCCACCTGCTCGTTCAGTACCGCAGAGAGGAAGATCAGCAGCCCTAGAGTCACAGCAGCAGACATACTCCCAGCACACAGTATACTCAGGTAGCACTTTCTTTGTCATTCTCTGAAGATCTCTAAATTGTAGCATCTTATATAGCTCTTATATCTCCCGCCCATCTGACCTCACCACAGGGTTGCCAGGCCCGTCCAATTGCTACTCAAAACTAGCCCAATGGCGTTCCTGGGGTGGCAGGATCCCCCTGTTCAAATATCCCCTATGGCAGGGTTCCTCAAATCTTGCCCTGGAGGTCCAATGCGCTGCAGAGTTTAGCTCCAACCCTGATCAAACTCAGCTACCTGTGATTTTCTAATGATCCTGAAGACATTGATTAGCATGCTCAGGTGTGTTTGATTAGGGTTAGAGCTCAACTCTGCAGGAAAGTGGATCTCGTGGGCCAGATTTGAGGATCCCTGCCCTATGGCTAAATATAACGTTATTGGGGTCGCTTCAACCCGCGGCAAAATTAAAGTAGCCTAATTCCATGGGAAAACCGCGGACTTGGCAACAGTGCTCACCAACCTCACCTCAGTTACTAAGGTGGCCGAGAGAGCTCCACGCGCCGCAACTTTAGATAAAAACGTGCCAATAGAAAAAGCACCAGCAGTGAAGAACTGGTTCAAAAAGCTGATCAAGCAATAACTTTATTTTCTAACAACTCAGTGCCATGTTGCATCAATGAAAAATTCAAATAAGTCATTTTGAAACATTCAAAAATAAAGTAATTTGTGTGAAAGCATATTGCTGATCATTGCCATATAATTCACTTAAGTTAATGGTGTTTGTTGTCAGTTTCATTCGCGGATCCTCAGACACTGACTAACCTACAACTCGGATAAGATTCCTAAAAGTTTCGCAGCTACAGCACACATTACAGACACTGATGCACAACGCGGATATGTTCTACATGTCTACAGTATGAAGAATGAATAAACTAGTCTTATAAACTCCTCGATTTCGCTTAAGCAACTTTAAATATAATATGCATGCACAATAAACTATTGTAAAATTTATTTACATCACTCGACAAAAAGGTTTTTGCAGGTTTTAATAAAATGTAAATAAGTTAATGGTGTTTGTTGTCAGTTTCATTCGCGGATCCTCAGACACTGACTAACCTACAACTCGGATAAGATTCCTAAAAGTTTCGCAGCTACAGCACACATTACAGACACTGATGCACAACGCGGATATGTTCTACATGTCTACAGTATGAAGAATGAATAAACTAGTCTTATAAACTCCTCGATTTCGCTTAAGCAACTTTAAATATAATATGCATGCACAATAAACTATTGTAAAATTTATTTACATCACTCGACAAAAAGGTTTTTGCAGGTTTTAATAAAATGTAAATTAATAACAGTCATAATAAACCAGCATATTTCCAGTACGCGCCTCACTCAGGCTTGCACAGTATCGTCAACTCACTCTCAGAATCCTCGGTAATCCTCGGCAAATTTCGCCACGGCTCATTCGGTTCTTGTGGAGTCTTCGGTAATCCTCGGCAAACTTCGCCACGGCTCATTCGGTTCTTGTGGAGTCTTCGGAAATCCTCGGCAAACTTCGCCACGGCTCATTCGGTTCTTGTGGAGTCCTCGGTAATCCTCGGCAAACTTCGCCACGGCTCATTCGGTTCTTGTGGAGTCTTCGGTAATCCTCGGCAAACTTCGCCACGGCTCATTCGGTTCTTGTGGAGTCCTCGGAAATCCTCGGCAAACTTCGACAGTTGGTTGAACCGGACATCACTACAGCACAACATCATCATCAGTTTGACAACACACACACTGCAAATACTCAGCACAACTAAATACAGAAACGTGCTGCAAGTAGTAGGCTATACCACAACGCAAATGTTTCAAGGAGACCCCAACAACCCTTACGAGAATTAACCATGGTTTTATTATAGTAAAAGTGTAGTAATGATGTTTTTGGAGTTTACCATTTTACCGTCATAATTTTTATTTTTTTGGTGACTGCCATTTGTATAACCACACAAATACCATGGTTAAACTTAGTGCAATTTGTGATTACCATGGTTTAACCATGTTTTTTAAATAGTAAAACCATGGTTAATTTTAGTTAGGGAAGTTGTCAAAGTAATTTAGCCAGCTTAAAGTTACAGTAGGTGTATTTCGTCAGCTTATTTAGGCTAATCATATCGAGAGAGAGAGAGAGAGAGAGAGAGAAAACCCCGCTAAGGAATCATATGATCAAGATGTTCATGATCCGAAATCTTAGCTTTCACAGTAGACACTGAAGCGTGTCCCAGCCAGCTTCGGCACTTGTTGCGGCTCTCTGTATATTTCCGATGAGGTCTGTGCGTATTTGCAGTGCGTTTCTGTATTGTGTTGTGAATAGTTGCAGCACATATGTCGTCAAACTGATGAAGATGTTTTGATAATTTGCTGGTTTTTCTCTATTTGCATGTTTTTTGTTTCTTCATTTGCAGAGCTCTCTCGGCCCCGGTAACTTACAGCCAGCCAGTGTGGTTCCACATACTGTATACAAGATTGAGCAATAACAGAATAAAACACTTCAGTAAACCATCATGAGGAATATGGTGAAACCACATGAAAAAATACTATGGTAATTTATAGTAAACCAGTATAGTAAAAAGTTTTGAACCATACTATAGTAAGTTTTATTAAACTGTATATATTATAGTATTTACAACACTTTGTTTATGAATGCTACAGCATACTGTAGTATTAACTATAGTGAACTGATCAACTGTAATAAATACAGTAGTCTAGGCTACTTTAGTTTTTATTACAGTAAACTGTAGTGTAGGTATTGTAGTATAATATAGTTGTAGAAAACAGTACAGTATTGGGTAAATTAATTAGTTTATATTACTATTACCACAGCAACTATAGAATTACCACAACAAATTAATTCAAGTACTTTTACTATAGTAGGCTATGGTAACAAGTGTTTCCGAGATTGTTTCATGGGTACAGCGTACCACTTCGCAGTCCTTGCAATGAATGTGTGCATTCGTGGAATGTGTGAACGCAGCTTTCTCCCCCTGTAAAATGAGTGGAGTTTGCATGCTGGATGATTTACTGATTATAGCTCCTACTGATTATAGTATCACAGGCTTCTGCTACTCAACCACTCATCATATCCTCTGCTTGGGGAGCGGAGTTTAGCTTTATTTTAATGTGAGCCCACCTTTCATAGGGGCACTCCCTAGCTATACTTACTTCCTTGCTGAGTTTGAGCAAAGAAATATCTGCGACACCGACATGACTACTGTCTTATTGATATTTAGGGATTATATCGATAAGTTCTGTGATGGTTAAAGCACCAAAACTGCTGCACATCATATGAAGTGATCAAGTCTCTTCAGAAAATTTGGACTAAACCGCTCAATTCTTATGGATTAGTTTTACGATCTTTTAATTAACTTTTAGAATCGTCAAATTGGTTGGACTTCCCATTTGACTGAGACTCTGGATTACAGGTGGAAATGTTGTAAATAATGTTCAGTTTCTTGCACCGACCGATCGTTTCACTTCATAAGACCTCAATATATCATCAGTATAGTCGTGGATTTGCATTTTATGAATCACCAAGGACCACGGTTTCAGCAAAAAATCGTCTTTACTGTTGTACTGAAGAAAAAGTAATCTACATCTTGGATTTAAATGAATCGATTAAATGGATACTTTTAAATAGTTCACCCAAAAATGTAAATGTCTGTCTTACCTTTGTGTCGTTCGAAATCCATACAACAAATTTGGAAGTATATTGCTAACGAGACAGTCTTGGTGACAATTGACACACACACACACACACACACACACAAGATATTTCTCAAAATATACAGGTTTAGAATGGCATGAGGGTCAGAATTTTTATTTGTTAACCTTTTTAACATTCTTTCATATTTTTATTTTTTTATTTATTTTTCCGCATTTAGAGAGACATCTCCTGATGAACTGCAGGACATCTGCTAAAAGCAATTTTTAAAATATGTTTCTCATCTGTACTGTTACTGCAACTTGGCCATCATGGCCTTGGTCTCATGCTGATGTCACACTGTCCTGCAATCAGCATGATGCTTCACAAATGTCCATGTGACGAACATATTGCAAAACATGAACCGGTGCTTCACCGTGGTGAGAGATAAAAACACACCTGTGATGAGTGGGGTGGTGGACCACTCACCAGACTCCAATCCCATGGAGGAGCTCTGGAGGGATAAAAGGAGGAGTGACGACAGTGAAGGACGAGAGAGGACCAAGCCTGGACTATTTATGTTGTTGTTTTATTATGTTTTATGCCGCAGTCTTGTACTTTCGTTTTGTGTTTGTTTATTTGATTATTAAAGTTTTATGTTTAAACGTTCGCCAGTTCCAGCCTCCTTCTTCCCTGATCTACAAACTTTGTTACAACACCATTGGCAGCTTCCTTCATTTCTATCATTTTTTTATTTCATGTTGTCTCTTTTTGTTGTTGTTGTTGTTTTACAAGTTATTACTTTAAAAAATAACATGTTAAAATACACCAAGAAAATAGAATACAGATAAAATGTAAAATTGTAAAGATTAATTTAGGCCTGTATATGTGCAAAAGGTCAATTGCACATTCTTTGACATTTGTGTCTGTGTTACAGCAGATACATGCAAATAAACCACTTAAGCCCAAAACCCATTTTTTATCAACAAAAAAAAAGAAGCAAGCTGAATTAGCTTATTCATTTTTCTTTATTCATTTTTAAATAGAAAATCAAATGATTGGGACCTAATAGATAATGTCATCATATTGTAGTATAACTATGACATGTTAATAATCCAACACTGTTAATTATAATGCAAGTCACTAATTAGCCAGGCAAAGCTAAAGTGTTCTGTGGCCCTGTCCCAAATGGCACCCTAAACCTTCGCACTTTCATGACGTAATGCCGCTTTGACTGTCGGGTAGAAGTCTACTGCGGAGCTCGCACCAGTGCGGATCGAGGGCGCATTACGGCCGCAAAGGGGCCGCTCGTGAGCACCCTTCTGAACGCTAAAATGACAAATTGGACACCCTACGGTCTCATGGACTTAATGGACAGTGTTCCATTTGGGACAGGGCTGTGTGGTTGCTAGGCGAATGTGGCTAAGGTGTGCTGTGTGTCTATAAGAAAGTATAGCAGGTTAAATGGCTTGCATGTGTTTACATTTGAACTGTCTTCTGTCTTCTTGGACAGCATCAAGCAACTTCTTTTACAGTGAGAAACCACTCATGCTCTCGGCCGTCAGACATCAGACACGTCCATGGTGTCATTTTCAGAAGGTTTGCCGGTTCCTCCATACCAGCCGCAGGAGCCATCGCTGTGTCTGATGCAGGCAGACTCGTGAATTGGTTCTCTATCCTCAAATGACCATAAGGATGACAAGTTTGTCAGTATACACTCATTTTTTGTGCTAGGTTGACAGGGCTTTTCAGTGCAGGTAGAAATCTGTAGAGAAGACAATTTCAGAGATTAGTATACTGCAATATACTATAATACAATATAATATAATATTTTGGTAACACTTTATGTACGAGTTTTCAATATTAATTAGTTGCTTATTAGCATGCATATTTCTTTCTCTTTAAGTTTTGTTAATTGGCTATAGGGTATATGTCGAACGTCACCTGACCAAACAAGGAAAACAGGTCTCATCGCTTCCGCTTGTCGGAGAACATGCTAACAGCCGTAATAAATAATAGCGATATCTATGAACTTTTAAGATAATCAGTTAAACTATAGCTAGCTGTTTTTATTGAAAATAAAAAACTTTTAGATATCAGTCCGCATATGTGATGGACATTGGTTATGATAATCTTTGGTATCTACTTTGAAGGCATCTTGAGTAAAACTGCTTCATATGTAACGAAGCATATGCAAAACGCTTGAACCGGAAGCGACGAGACCCGGTTAACAGAATACGGAAGTCTGTTGCGCATAACCTCTATTTTCCTGTCCGTGTGTATCATCAAGTCCCTTGATAATATTGGTTAGTATCACATGTACAGAAAAGTAATTCAGTGGAATGACATGATATTTTTGTTTGGTAATTGAGTGCTCATAATGTTTGGATCATTGTCAACTGGGTTGAAATAAATATATGACATATTTTATTACCATGCAGCTACAGCTCATCAGATATCTGTGTTTGATGTTCTTTTTTTGCATTAAGGAGAGTCTGTCCCAGAGCGCAAGATAGTCGCACATTGAAACGAAGAATCCCTCAGGCGCGATGCTTCCTGTGAGATAAAAAAACATACAGTATCACAAATTTCAATATTGTTTTATTTTCCCTGAGGTCCACCTACATGTATATAATGTTAGCCAGAGAATCACCCTCTCACAGTGTTTAGGGGCAGATCAATTTGAATATGTAGGTTTATATAAGTCAGGAGATGGTCAGAACTGCTGCTCATCTCCCATGTTTTCATATCAGGCTACCAGCTGTAATGTAAACTTTTAAGACTTTTAAACGATTTTCATTGCAAAACCTACTTTCAGACACCAGCAAGTGTCTGAAATAACTTGCAATCCGATGGTGATCACCATATGAGACAGAAATATATTTTTATAGAATTACACACAATGCTAAAAACAATGTATGCTAACCATTGCCATAATAAGTGCACATTATGCTCATGAAAATATCAGAGACCAGCTGAAGAACATATATTATACTTGTCTATTTATTCGGTTTCATATTTCTTCTGTCTCTTCCCAGTGTCTTTGTTGGTACTGGACTTTTGCATCCACATATTTAATAAATTACATCATAACTCCAGATTTCTGTTTGTCAGCTCAAACCTCCTCAGGTTGCATTATTTAGTGGAAAATGAATATGATTGATCGTTCTTCATAAAGAAATATGGCATAAACATTCAAGACTTTATTAGCATCTTTCTAAATGTGTACGTCTTTGGATTTAAAAGCCCTAATGGAGTTGTTTTGTGCATTCCTATGAGCAAATAAATGAAAGCAGGGGTGACTGAACAAGTATGTGTGTTCTCTTTTTTATGTGAAATATGTTGATTCAGCATGATTGATGTGCACTACTGAGCTAGCTTTCATTCTAGTTTTCATTCATCTTGCCCTTGCTGGTGAAATGGAGGGTTTGTGTGATATTGTTCTCTGGAGGCAGGTTTTAGAGTAGCACTGTGGGATTACTGGCCAGACAGTAGAAACACAGCTTGAGTTTGGCCTTAGAGGTAATCAATGCTCTTCTAGACTATAGGAAGACATTTTCCATTCTCAAAGGATTTTTTCTTTATTACAATAAACTCTCATTTCAAAACTCCAAGAAAAATGTGGTAATTTGTTAAAACATTATAAATGCTTTTACCTGAAAGCAGATACTGTCCACGACCCAGTCTAGTACCGCACATTGAAGACATCTCATTCGTATAGACATGCTGAATTTCCTTTATTCGATCAAAACCCTTGAACACCTGCAAAAACAAGATTTTGTTTGCTGGTAGCCTTTATTCCTATCATTTTTGCAAAGTCACCATATTACATTTTTATTTGGCTACTTGAACCTCAGTGCACTGTAGTGTATATACAGTATAGATGTATATCATAATTAATCTTAACCCTAAACAACCATTTTGGGTCTGCTAAAAACAAATGCCTCTGTAAGTTGACATAGGATGGGCACAGAGAGAAAAATGAGATTGGAAAACGGTTGATTTGAACTTGAGTCACTAAAAGCGAACTGCGTCAACTTTAGTCTTTGTCAGTTTCTCCCAAGGTTTTTTCTCCATTTCTGTCACCGATGGAGTTTCCTATTGAACGGTCTCTCCTGTTGCGTTTAACATGCTTATGGGGAATCTCATGTTTACTCTGATTGTGAAGCCTGATTTGTTCACGTTTGTGTAACTGCATTAATAAATGGAGCTTCAACCTGCCAAAAGGGGAGAGCCAAAGCGCCATTCATCAGAAATGTTCTCCTTCAGTGACGAAGATCATCTCCTTGCTCTACTCTGAAGAAAGAAGCCAAAGCAAGAAGCTCAGCTTGCTGCTCACCGTAGAAGAGTCACTCTATCACCTGTCAATCGAGAAACTCAGACCGCTTGCCACCTGGCTCTAGGCTTGGAAAGCCTTTGTGGATGTGTCAAGTTGGGATCTAAACATCATAGAACGAGGTTACTCGCCCCAGTTCACTCACAGACCACCTCGCTTCAGAGGTATTATTCAAACTTTGGTAAAGGACAACGATGCTCACATTCTCCAGTCCGAAGTGCAAGCCTTGTTTGCAAAAGGAGCCTTGGAGATGGTTCCTCAGACGAACAGCGAGTCAGGCTTTTACAACCGCTACTTCCTCGTTCACAAAACAGCTCAGGCCCATTCTCGATCTCAGGCATCTGAACTGCGCGCCGATGAAGCGGCCGTTCAAGATGCTGACTTTGAAACAGATGCTCATGCAAATATGCCCTGGGTACTGTTTTTTATCAATGGATCTGAAAGAGACTTACTTTCACATCCACATAGCCCCTCATAAGAGACCATTCTTGAAATGTGCGTTCAAGGGGATGGCTTATACAATCCTGCCATTCAGACTGTCTCTGGCCTCTGCACTTTTACGAAGTGCGTGGACGTGGCTCCTTCCCCTCTGAGACAGATAGGAATCCGCATTATGAATTACATGCTGTCCAGGGGCAATGTAGCGGCAGGAGAACGGAGACTACATCCCCAAATGGTTCAAATGATCTGGTCTGTCTTCGGGAGGCAGAGGTAGACTTATTTTCCTCAGAAGACAACTTTCACTGCCCAATTTACTTTTCGAAGCAGCAAGATGCCCTGGCCCAGGAATGGCCCAGCACTCGCATGTATGCCTTCCCCTCGGTTGCCCTGCTCCCTCAGGTCATCAGACGGGTCAGGGGAGTCAGATGCTCAGTCCTCCTGGTGACCCCACTCAGGAGGAATCAGACGTGGTTTCCAGAGTTGATTCAGGTGCTATTGGCAGACCCTTGGCAGATACCATTGAGGACAGACCTCTTCTCACAACCAAGAGGCATGATTTGGCATCCCTGGCCAGAGCTGTGGAGCCTTCATGTTTGGCCTCTTTGGGCTGGTTAGGAGCCAGAGCCTAGTTTCAAATCGGTTCTTTGTCTTTTGACACCCAAAGCACCAGCTCCAAACCAGGAAAAGTGGTTCGTAAGTAGCACCAAACCATTGCTGGTCAAGAAGTAAGAACCGCTTGCATCAGGGGCTGGGGGAGGGGTTTCTGTGACCAACAAGACGAACAGAAACCTTTGACCACCATTTTTGAAATAGCAGCTAAACACAAATACGTTGAATTTGCCGTGTTTGGATGCCGATGTAGGTTTGCAAAGCCATGAACATCAATAGCAATGCAAAGTCCACCACAGTTGATTGTGTGTTTAAACTTGTTCGGGCTGCATCGGCACTGCGCAGACCGGTCGAGGTGCCGCGGGAGTGATTGGAAAGCATACAACTTTCTTTATGCTTTTGGATCACTTTCGCGGTGCTTTGGTGTCGTGCACTGATCAGTCTGCATGGCGCGATGCATCTAGGAACAAGTCTCTTGTGTTTGGCGCTTCCGCACTAGCATTACTAGGACAGATGAGACGTATTCAGAGACGTAAGACCTGGCTCTGTGGTGGCTTTCTAGCCCGTGGAAAGGCAAACCAGTTCTTAGAAGGCTCGCCAGTTGAACCAACTCCGAACCGGCAATAGCACTGGCTCTGAACTAGCACCCGGTTCATGCTGGTGGAAAAGGGGTATTAGAATGTTTGGGCTCTTAGTGTGTACGTTGAGCGCTCTTGCCCGTTTCGGCACTCAGAGCAGCTCTTTGTATGCTTCAGAGGCCTCTCTAAAGGGCTGCCGGTTACGAAGCAGAGACTCTCACTGGATAGTTGATGCTATAGCCATGTTTTCCAACTTAGACGTCCCTGCCCTCCAGGCACAGATTTTGTCTGCTTATTTCACCTAATCCCCTCTGTGAGTGGAAAGGGTTCTGCTATGTAGTCCCCAGCTGGGTGGCTTGGGTCTCATAATTAAAAAACTCATCATGCTTTTTAGGAGCCCTCATTACGGGCGCTGTGGGGCTGAGCTCGCAGAGCGGCTTAGTTCTGCACTGGCTTATGGCATGGCGCTATTGGATGCATTCCACATAAGCGTGTTAAATGCAACAGGAGAGAAAGTTCAATAGGGAATGCTCCGGTTACTAATGTAACCTCAGTTCCCTGAGATAAAGGAATGAGCGCAATGCCGTGCTATAAGACTGAATATAGTCTATAAGTCTGTATTGTGTAAAGTGCTATATAAATAAAGGTGACGTGACTTGACACAGTTTCTGGCTAGCCAAAAGAGTTTTGTAATACGTTTGTTTGGTTTGACCAAACTATTGTTGTGCTACTAGCCAAGCTGGGTGGCAGAGTTGTTACTTAGTGTAAATAGTCACTCTGTTTTTATTAAGTGTGTTTTCATATTTAGATACCCATGCTGCCTTTATCAGTCTATACTCTACCAGTTAATCCACAAGAATCCCAAAGAGATTGTAACTTTGCCTCCATTTAAATGGTGGACTACTTGGACGGAAGGCCAAATAGCAAAAATATTCCCCACATTACAAGTACTTTAGCTCACCTTTATCACTTGGATTTCATACTGAATTTTTCCCATGCCAGGTGTATTTTCATCGCTGTGTATGATCTTCTCTCCAGTTACCTCAGCTCGCATCACTAATCAGAAATGATTTAGTTGTTATTACTAGTGTGTGACACTGAAAGCATTAAAGGAATCTTTTCAGTGAAATCAATTTCTTCTTTTAGAATCACACACTTACACAGTCATGTTAATGGTGGACTACTTGGACGGAAGGCCAAATAGCAAAAATATTCCCCACATTACAAGTACTTTAGCTCACCTTTATCACTTGGATTTCATACTGAATTTTTCCCATGCCAGGTGTATTTTCATCGCTGTGTATGATCTTCTCTCCAGTTACCTCAGCTCGCATCACTAATCAGAAATGATTTAGTTGTTATTACTAGTGTGTGACACTGAAAGCATTAAAGGAATCTTTTCAGTGAAATCAATTTCTTCTTTTAGAATCACATACTTACACAGTCATGTTTATCTATCTATCTATCTATCTATCTATCTATCTATCTATACATTGTGAATACATTGTGATACTTAGGGCCCTATTTTAACGATCTAAGCATATGGTCTAAAGTGCACGGCTCAGGTGCATTCAGGCCGTGTCCGAATCCACTTCTGCTAGTTTAACGACGGGAAAATGGTCGGCACGCCCGGGCGCATGGTCTAAATGGGTTGTCCCTATTCTCTTAATGAGTAATGGGTGTTTTTGGGCGTAACGTGTAATAAACCAATCAGAGTCTCATCTCAGCCATGGCGGGTTCGCTACTTACATGGTGGAATGTAATTTTTCATTTTTAAAAATGTTTGTGTGCTGCTGTGCGTCCCTGTGTGTGTAATAAGCAAAGTGTACGCACGTTGTGCACCCGCCTGTAGGCACATATTACTAACATGCCCTTTAAATAACAAAGAAAAAAATATTGCGCCAGACTTTAGACCAGGTTTGAGTTGGTCAATTTTCAGTTCCTCAAAATAGTAATGCGCCAACATTGCACCTGAACACACCTCGTTTTCAGACCAGTATGCCCATGGGCACACAAATGGGCAAAATGCATTTGCTATTTAAACAACGTGGCGCAGGACAGGAAAATGAGAACTGCGTCGGGCTGAAACTAGCAAAAACACTTGCGTCGCATTGTGCCGGGTGTATGATAGGACCCAAAGAATACAAAGAAAGTACTAAATACATAATCCAGCTAGATGTACCTGATATTTACTGTAGCTGAAAAAGAGGTTGTGAACTCGCTCCCAGATAACCCACATGCAATTACCTACAAGAGCTCTTAAAATATATCTTGAAGCTTTAATCTGGCTTTATTTGGTACATTTTACTATATTGTATTGTCTTGTATGTGAACATTATTTTGAATTTCAACTAATAGCAACTAATTTTGATTTTCAATCAAAGTCGTGGTATATAACAACCAGAAGTCCAGCAGATTCTCATGACTGTGGTTCAAGGTCATTCAGTTTTTTATAAAGTACATTTTCATTCCTGTTGTGTTGGTTCCTAGGTTTCTGAGTATGTCCACTTACACTGTATTTTGATGGTCCTCTTTAGACGTTCTGCAACTGTATACTTTAGATTTTTCAGCTGCACATACTGTAGACTGTCTATTGCGGGACCATCAAAATAAAGTGTTAGCAGTTAAGCAGACAGTCTACTAATACTATAATGCAGGGGTCCTCAAATCTGGAACTCGAGATCCACTTTCCTGCAGAGTTTAGCTCCAACCCTAATCAAACACACCTGAACACGCTAATCAAGGTCTTCAGGATTACTACAAAGTAAGGATTACAGGATTACAACAAAGCTCTAATGACTGCTATAGTTGATGTGTAGATGCAAAGGGAACCAAAGGTGACCATCAATAATTGTTGCTATAGTAACTAATTTTGTTCACCTGTGTCTCGTTTAGTTTCTCATTTGGTCTGTGTACTTGTTACCCTCCTTTTCAGTTGTTCTTTCAGCTACTATAAGTTGGTTTGCTATTCTTCTGCATTTTCCTTGTGCTTACAAGTGTTTCCTCCTAAACGATCCTCAACTTTTCCCTGCCCGCAAACAACTCACGACAATGGCACGGTTAGCTTAGGTTGTCCAATGGTTTAAAACCTAAATGACATTATTGTTCAACGACATATATATTTTTCTTGCAATCTCGTTTTAAAAATACACTCATTGACATAAAGTCACTCTTTTACGATACAAATGGGTTCAAGTAAGGAAAATTATTTTATATCTTTTTACATGCTTACACTACTTGACATTTTTAGTGTAATTAAATTTTAATTATTTGCTGAAAGTGGTCATCTCAGACAAAGACTTTATTTGACTTTGACCCTTTAACATCTTCTGCTAGGAGTTCAGTTTGCCAAGATGAAAGAATTTGTCATTGATTTACAGCTTGTTCCTTTAAAATAAAACATCTATGGGTTATAAATGAGTGGGATGGTACACTGATGCCATAGTTGTTATCTAGTTGATGGATTATGTGGATTTACTGTATTCGTTCAAAGAATACTACAGGAATCTGTGTGTCTCATGCCGGTCATTCCATGCCTTATTGTTCCAGAACAAAGAATGGAATGCCTAAGCAGCTCTGACGCACTGAAGCAGGGATTCAAACCAACTCTTTCATTCTCTGAGTGAAACTCGTTTAGCAGAACATTTAAACGAGTGCACTACAAAAATCAGATGCCGTCTTGTTTTTCAGAAAATAAAATAAGATAAATTTACCTGAGAATCAAAATAAATAAGACATTAAGACTTGTTTTCAGAGAATACATCTTGAATATTAATATTTTGTTTCTGTCTTTTGACTCGACGTCTTTCACTTGTAAGTAAAAACACTTTCACTTTCGAGAAAGTAAGAAAGCATTCAGTTCTTGACAATTCAATAGTCAATGACTTCATTCGTGATTTTATTGAAGTTCAAATTATATCAATCGCATCACAAATCAATACACCTATTTTTAAAGCCAAACCAAATTTTTAAAGCCAAACCCAGAGCTAATTAAAAAGTAAATGCCACTCCAAAGTCGTTGGATCATTGAACTGTGACTTATTACAACAGCAGTTTGAATATCAGCTTATTCATAATTACAGAGAACCGAGAGCAGCTTCTGACTAATTATGCTGTTATAATAAGGTTAATTGGTACACCAGATCATTGTAAAATAAGGTGACTGCTCGTTCCTTAACGAGGCAACAACTAAATATCACCTTGATTCTGATCATATTATCGTATTTGCACAATCATTACAAACTTAATATGTTTGACACATTGCAGTTCACGACACTGTCCTGAACCTAAGTCTGTTGAGATTTAGCCGTTTCGGGATATTCCTCATTGCTGATGGACAAAATTTGGGTTTTGATAACAGGTATTTCATTTAGTGCAAACGTTTATGCAATATTAAACTGTAACAGTGTAATGTTCTTGACAGATTTGTCACACCATCCTGAAGACCTGCACTTTACTTTGGCAAAGTTATGAAAATAAAAGAGCATAAACTCCAGTTTGATTGACGTACCTATGTCAGACATGCAGAACAGCTGTTGAGGGTGTCCTGGAGCACAGCTGCAGCCCTCGGCCACCTGCTCGTTCAGTCCCGCAGAGAGGAAGAACAGCAGCCCTAGAGTCACAGCAGCAGACATACTCACACTCACGCTCTGCCAGCACCAGAGAAATTATCAACTATATAAAATACACTTCTTGTGGCCCTGAATGATTGCTCCCCTCCGTCTGTAGTGATGATCTCTCTCTAGGATCTGCGGGTGTCTTATAGCTTTCATTTCTGGCTGAGGAAAGGACCACCCTTCTAACTAAACAAACCCCACCCTCTACAAACACACACACACACACTCACATCTTGGTATTGGTGGTTCAGGGACAGGGAAGTCGTGGCCAAATGGTTAGAGAGTCGGACTCATAACCCAAAGGTTGTGAGTTCGAGTCTCGTACCGGCAGGGATTGTAGGTGGGGGGAGTGAATGTACAGCGCTCTCTTCCACCTTCAATACCACAAGGGACTGAGATGCCCTTGAGCAAGGCACCGAACCCCCAACTGCTCCCCGGGCGCCGCAGCATAAATGGCCACTGCTCTGGGTGTGTGTTCACGGTTTGTGTGTGTTCACTGCTGTGTGTGCCCACTTTGGATGGGTAAATGCAGAGCACTAATTCCGAGTATGGGTCACCATACTTGGCCACATGTCACTTCACTTCGTGGGGACTCTCCATAGGTGTAATGATTTTTATACTGTACAAACTGTATTTTCTATCGCCCTACACCTAAACCTACCCCTCACAGGAAAATTTGTGCATTTTTAGATTTTCAAAAAAACACCCTTTAGTATGTTTTTAAGCCTTTAAATTGTAGGGACACAGGTAGTGTCCTCATAAACCACCTTCATATTGAAATACCTGTGTCATACCCATGTCATTATACAAATTAGTGTCCTCATAAACCACCCAAACCAGTGCACACACACACACACACACACACACACTCTAGGATCGGTGGAGATGCTCTTGTACCAGTGGAGTTTCAGGAGTGGCGTATCCATTCAGATCTGACTCCAATATGAAAACATTCTTTATGCTATCAGTTCCCCGTGGAGAAAAGCGAGTCTGGTTAAATGCTGTGATGCTCTCAGAAATGTCAGATTATGGAAGTCAAATTGGTTGTATGCAGTGTTAGCAATCAGTCGCTGGTTTTTAGGACATAAAACGTGTCTTGTTCACACACGCTTGATTGATAGACTGGATATGATGAGACAGTCTGAAGCACTACACTGCAGCAATGCATAATAAATGACTAACTGAAGTTGAAACAATGAAAGATTTATTGGCCTATAGTTGGGATTAAATGACGTAGTGACCAGTTCCTGGATTCTTGCATGAAGTCAGTAACTAATCCAAACATGGATAAGTTTACTAATGAAAGTCAACAATGAAAACAATGAATCTGTGTTTCAGATCTCAATGCCAACATTCCCTGCGGTGGTGAAGATCGGACACGCTCATTCTGGAATGGGGAAGGTATGCTAAAATGCTTTTGTTTTTATATTTTCATTTTAAGTTTATTTTTTTTGTTGTCATTTTTAGTATTTGACCATGTGTCATGTTATTAGATTCTTTTTCTCTGTCTCCATTTTAATTTGAGCTCATTTCAATTAGCAAAATGTCTTTAATAGTTTGATTACACTTTATTTTGATGGTCTCCATTAGACATTTAATTCAGTTAGTTAACTGTATCAGTCACAATAGAGTTGGGTCTCATTCACTAGCAGTGTGTGTGCACAAATGTGTGTGTGAAATCTGAAATATAAACATATTCAAAAATCATAATTCTTCAATAACTTTTGTTCTAAATGGTCTAATAATCAACCATTAGTGAATGAGACCCAATGTATTAACCATGGCTTTGGTTTGGGGAAGGGATTACCTTTTTTGCTTTAAAACGGCTGACAGAAGAAGTGTTTAATACTTCTTTCGAAGCTGCTGATTTCACTGAAATTACACACTCTGTCTCTCAGCCCGTTAACAACATGGCAACATATCAATGGTACTTTGCCTTGGCAGGTGAAAGTCGACAATCACAGTGACTTCCAAGACATTGCAAGTGTTGTGGCCATCACTCAAACCTACACGACCACAGAGCCTTTCATTGATGCTAAATATGACATCAGGGTCCAGAAGATCGGTTCTGACTACAAAGCTTACATGTAAGTACAGGCGCACAACACAGCTTACAGTAATCTATGTCAAGCTGCTAGACCCTCAAGTCATTCCAAACCTCACAGACTCTCTTTATTTCCGCGTAACACACTGTAAATGGAAGATTTTGATGAATTTACTGATCCACGAAATGACAATTAATGGGAACCAAGGCTTTCAAGCTTCAAAAAGCATGCACAAACGACCATAAACGTATTATAATAGCAGTGGATACAACTTCTGATTTCATGCAATAGCAAATTATAATTTTTGGTGAAGAATTCCTTTGGTAATGATTGGTGAAATCATTGCGCGGACTGAATGTGAATTGATCAATTATTTCAATTCACAGGAGAACATCCATATCTGGCAACTGGAAATCAAACACTGGCTCTGCCATGCTGGAGCAAGTAGCCATGACTGACAAGTGAGTAATAGAGAAAGAAACGCTTTCGATTAACTGTATTGGTCCAAATATACTGAGGCTTTTACAGACTCTATGAGGTCTGCGTCTTTAAGTCCATGTACAGTGTGCTACCTTTGATGGCATCTTAATGCTAGTGCACTGCTTTAGTAAACTTTTAATAGATAATGTAAAAATTGCATTATGACAGCAGAAAGGAGCTCATAAAATGTCATTAAAGAGAGCCAAGTGTCTTATTGGCAAGGCGTCACCTGGTTTTGTATAGGAACGTGCATGTGTATTAGATGACTGATTGGAGATAAAGATGCTAAATTCATGATGAAATAGTCGATAAAACTGAAACTCCATAATCAGGTGCCAAGATAGCTGGTAAAAAGCGATCATCAGGAAAACATCTGTTTAAAAAAGAAAAAAAAGAAGGCAGTTTTACATACATTCTAAATCATAAACACCTTAAAGACATTTTCTAACCCTTTATTTAACATCTGACTGGAAACGTCTGAACAACGCACATCCAATAGATGTCTCCAGATGTATGTGTGCTATCAGGGCTATTAGTATGGCTTGTGCACTTAAATAAATCATGCTCTTGAGAAAAATAAGCAGCCCAACATTCTACTGTATATCTGTCGTTCCTGTCGTTCCATACATACATACAGATGCCATTAATACAGGTAACGAGTGGAGGACAGAGGAGCCTCTTAAAGAAGAAGTTACAGGTCTGTGAGAGCCAGAAATCTTGCTTGTTTGTAGGTGACCAAATACTTATTTTACCGAGGAATTTACCAATTAATTCTTTAAAAATCCTACAATGTGATTTTCTGGATTTCTTTTTCTCATTTTGTCTCTCATAGTTGAGGTATACCTATGATGAAAATTACAGGCCTCTCTCATCTTTTTAAGTGGGAGAACTTGTACAATTGGTGGCTGACTAAATACTTTTTTCCCCCACTGTATATATACTGTATATACATACACACAAATTTCATTCTACATATTTTACTTTCAAAAGATTGAAAGCATAAATGTTGAGATCACATGACCAGCTGAACAACCTTGTTTGCGGGCATAAAAAAAAACAACTTTCTCCTTGCAAATAGTGAATATCTATAAAGTCCAAGACAACTGGCATACTGACCAGTGCAACATAACCAAAAGATGAGTTTAATTCATAAATGTGATGTAAAATGCAACATCCAGTAGCAGGAAGGAAACAAAATGAATAGTACTGACAATTCTGTAAGAATAATACTGAAGTAGATCAGGATGTTGAAATGGATGTTCAACAGGGAGTTAATTTAATAATAGTTCAACACATGTCTTTGGGAAGAGATCGGGAAAGCTCTTTAGTGACATGCTCTTCTGTCCTGCAGATATAAGCTGTGGGTGGACGCCTGTGCAGATGTCTTTGGAGGTCTAGACATCTGTGCTGTTAAAGCCATACATGGAAAGGATGGAAAGGACTATATCACTGAGGTGAGAGCATAGTGATGTAAGCACTGATTCAAGCATTACATAAGTCACCCGACCTCTATATAATTGCATGCGAGCTGATAGTTGAAAGATCAACACCGGACGAAGAGACAGAAGATTATAGTCATGAGAGGAGGCGCTGACCGCAGTGACTGTGTATTGTGCCAGGACACAGACAAATGGGTGCATGCTTTATGAGGTTTTGCAGAAAACACATAAATCCTTGCCAAATCCATTGTTAGGAATGTGAGTCAGACATTGCAGTAGTTCTTTGGAAGCTCACTTTTTCCTCATGCAAAAGTAGAACTCAAGTGTTTAAGGATTTTAAGGACACTCCTATAGTTTTTAATTTCCTGCTAATATCCCCACATGTGCAGGTAATTCACTTTATATTCAGCATTAAACACCAAATTTAGTTCATGCAAATGATGTCATAAATATTGTGCACTACTCTATGTGGTGCGTCATTTAGCCACATGGCCAGTAAACCCAGCACAGCCTCGTAAGACAAGCGTCACTATATTGTGATGTCAGCTCGCAATGATTTAACTGCAATGTTTTGTTATACCTAAAAATAAGTTGGTTTTGTTTCGTTGTACTGTCATGATGAGATTTTAGAACTCCATCCCAGCCCTATAAATCAAATCCATTTTAAACACTATAAACAAGTAACAGCCAGATAGATTTCGAGACACAATACTTTAAATTACAGTACACTATTAGCAGGCTATTTTTGAGCACCTGAGTCCACCTAAACCTCTAAAGCACCTCTCAGCAATGTAAAAGACGTAACAAGCACATAAAGGTACAGTTACAATCATTTCTTTGCAACAAAATGACTTCAGTGATTTTAAGCACCGAGCATTGCATGTCTTCTGAAGCCAAACGATAGCTTTGTGTGAGGAACAAAGTCAAAGTTTGAAGTGCTGGGCATCTTCCCTTTTCTCATTGAGAAGATAAATCCAAACCTTTAGCATGTCGCAATCGGTCACAAGACACAAAGCTGTGTCCTAACGTTATTTTGTGTTATTTTGAGTGTTTCAGTGAATGAGAACAGTTATTACAGAATCTCTTACACACACAAAGAAATTGTACGGCTTCCAAATTAAATACATCACTCTGATTAAACAGTAACCACTGCACACTAGTTACAAATTG